CTATCTGTGTACTCCATCCATCCGATGTACAATGTTGTCGCATTTAGGATGGCCGGCTCAAACTCCTCAGAATCCACCAGACAACTTGAACCCTGTCGATCAGCCTCTGCCTTGACCTCTGCAATTTCCTGACAACAGACACAATCACCTTCATTGAAAGATGGAGGCACACGACATCTTCCACATGTACACCTTGAAATACAGAAAGATTCAAACAAAAATCAATACACCTACTATAATTTTATAAATATTTTATTACAGCTTCCTGATAAATATAAAAATGACATCGTTCTCGTAGTCATAGTATGGTAAGAGTGCCCAAGGCAGTGCCTATGTCTGCGCACCCACGTAAATGCGCGATATTTATAGAACAAAACATCAAACTGACACCAATTTTCAATCTTAACCTCAACAATTCATTTAGATACCAAAATTTGTGAAAATAATTGGGAAGATTAAAAATGAGTTTTAGCAAGTTTCATTTGCCACCCTGAAAATTTCAATCATTGTCAAAAAAGAAAAGTCTGAACAGGGGGTTGTCCCTGGTATGAAACTTCACTGTGCTTGATTGAATTGCGTGCAAAATAGTGAGTGCGCAGACATGGGCACTTTTCAGTTTTGCTACACAAAATGACGAGCCCGTCTGAAATTCGTTAAAAAAAATTGTTCTTGTGAATAATTTGTCGAGTTTTTTTGTTTCAGTAATCATTAGAATATGAAGAACGGAATAACAATGATGATTCTAAAAATAATATCTTACTGTGTAATGAAATCGAGGTCGAATTTTAGGTGCGCAGACATAGATCTAGAGAATCATTTTAACAATAACAAGTTAACTTTAGAATTAGACATGTTTATGACCGAGTCTAGAGATCTACGGTATTTGATTTCAATTTTGGGGGGGAATAAATATTTAGAATGCACAACAAATTCAATAAGCTTTTAAGTCTTAATTACCAATCCTCGACATTTTCATGAAGCCGATTTGCGTTGTTGGCCCTTCCAGCATCGCCAACATTTTGCCCAGGTTCACCACGAGGTAAAGGCTCATACTCCCACTCGACGATACGCCCGTGTTCTCCGGCGTCTGCATCACTTGCATCGCTGTTGGTATCACTGCTGCTGCCAGTACTGTCCGGACTGTCACTACTACCACTGACACTGTCATTTTCACCGCTTTCCCCGCAACTGCCATCCTCCTCACACTCAAATTCCATAACTAAATCATCTTGTGCATCTGCCCTGACGACTGGGGTAGCCATTCTCTTTAGAAAGACTTCTCAAAACTTCTCAAACTTCAATCGATAAAAAGCAGTAAGGATTCACGGTACGCAAAATCAATGTAGATCTCGAACATCGCGCGGCGAAGAATTATAGCAAACAATTCGAGTCTACACGAAATGACGTCACCCAAGTCCGTGCGGCGCGGGGGCTCTTGACCGAGGCGAAGTTGGGAGGGGGCGGCAGTTGTACTGTAATTTTCATTTTTCTCAGTAATGAAAGGGTATTTAATTTTTTCTTTCTTGTATTTGTATTTTGTGTTTCATTAGCCGTCTGTGGATGTATGGTTGTTTACGCTCCGGTCAAGGTCTTTAATGCTATCCCTTAAACCTCTAACATTTACCGACAAAAAATTGACACTATTCATTGATTTTCTTTTCTATTTATACACATACTTAAACAAAAATTGCAGTAAGAATTTGTTATCAATTGTAAAGTTTCCATGAAATTATGAACATCTATTGACCTTAAATTCAAAACAAACAGCTTCAATTCATGCGCCCCAAGTTGTAACTCGTGAGTATAGGCAGGAGCAGACACCCCCTCACACACAGACATACCACAACACAGACAGCATACAAAAAACACTCACCCATAATAATGCAATATCATTCATTTAACACAATTCTTCAGTACACCCTCCGACCCCGCTCATGGCTCTGAACTGAAAACCCAACCCACCCTCCCCCATAATGCACCTCATAATACATAATTCCTCCCAGGTCAACTTGTGTCTTCTTCTTTTCCTTCCCGCCAAGTCCTTATTTCATATTGCTATTTTATTTTATTGTTATTATTCCCCCTGATACACCCTTGCTTGTTCAAAGCGATCATACACATACACACACGCGCGCACGCACACACGCACACACACGCGCGCGCGCGCACACGGGCACAACCTGCATGCACAACCACACACATTTTGGAACTTCCAACTGGTTAAATTGTTGACATTTGACAGGAATATCATTCATAAACACATTAAATATGAAATATTGTTTAATACAAAATAGCATAAGTATCTCTCTTGGGATCTTTTAAAAATTCTAGAAACAAACATGCAATTAGATACACATATTTTCAATATTCGCTTACTATTCACTATTTTGATAGGCTGTCCAATTGCTGGCAACTGTTATCATGACGACAACCAATGGAGTGCCTGCATACAAGATGTCAAAGAAAATTATGAGAAAAGTTAGGATAAGCTCAACATATACACATCTTAAATTTTAGCGGGGAAAACAGAAAGACCAGAATGAAGGTCTTTATAGTTTTAAATTTGCTTAAGATTCTACGTTCAGGTGCAAAAAAAAAATGAATTTTCAAAGTTTTAGCTATGTAAATAGGTAGCAAGAATTCACTCCTAAAACTGGTGAACCAGCTTTATTATATAGATGATTAACCCCTCCCCCTTTTACGTTATCTACTAATGAAGATCAGCAGAGTAAACATTGACTATTCAATCACATTTTCTCGAATTATATCGTGTTAGAAAACATGTTATGGCCTCGTGGGGAATAGCAGGCATTTCACGGTGTCAACCATCTGTAACGTAAATTATTACAAACTGACACAATTCAAGATCATATCATTTTCAAGTCTTCGATACAATTGTCAGTTATGTAAAGTGTTAGGGAATACATTTTTGATAAACAATGCTAGACAGATTAAAGCGTATTTACTGCTAACATAAAGTAACCTATGTCGATAATGGTTTTGTACCTCAGCATATAGTTATTATTTACATTTTTTTATTTTAAATCAACTGTTTGAAATTGTTGACATGGTAAATTGTGAATATTCAAGTCACAAGTTACTTTATGAAAAGTTACGATTAGAGAACATGGATGGATGTCAACAAAATAGTTTAATGTCACAACAGTTGTGTCGATTTTTCGCAATGAGATACCAAGAGTTCACATTTAGAGGCTTTTTTCTGAGATTTATTATTAATAATAGATTTTCGTTACGTGTACAAAATATTGAAAATTGTATATACTAATCTATGAAAACTTCTGTACTTTCGAACCTTGTAACTTACCCCAACCGATCATAGAGCATTTTAGTAGAAACTTCGGTATGTATGAATTCAGAACCCTAACAAACATCATGTACATGTTGAAGGCTTCTACACCCATCCAAGCAAGCGATGCAAGGCAGAAGTAATGCAATAGTATAGCAACCACAGTACAGCTGATCCTCCAGGTCGGTCGGTCAATACCGATGACGAAAGTGACGTACAGAGCTAGTAGCGCGAAACTGAGATTAATAAGTATCTGCTGTGGCTGTTTCCTGCGCAGTTTCCTGTGAAGTAAAGATAAAACCCGTGATTATGATGAATATTTTTTATATACAATATGCAATCTCTTAAAAGTGTTAAAAAATATATTTCATTTGTTTTGTGTTAATGCAGGGTACAAAAGTGGTCAATTCAAGCCCAACTATTTCTCAACGTTACACCACATATCAATTGAGGCTTCTTGCTGATTATCTTTTTATCGTACAGAAAAATCGAATCAATAATATCACATCTTCAGGAAATTGTGTCAATAATTTAGAGGCATCAAAGTACAACAATCGTTTAAAGATTAACAGGGTGTCGAATGTTTTGTAACATGCTAGCAATTATTCTCTGTATGCGATCTATAAATATATCTTTATATTGTATTTCTCTTCCTCTAATAACCTCTATTATGAGTAAATACATGGCACTATTTGATGAGGGCAGGGGGTTTGGAATCTTACCTAAAACCTAGCAGAACGCAGAGGGTTATGACGAGACAAATAATCGAAGCTATACAACCAATGCGACTGATTACATCAAGAGCTTTAGATATGATGCTTCCTTTGATATCCTATTAAGAATACATAATGAAGACATATGGTGTTAGTCTAATCTAGAAACGGACTCAATTCTACTGGCCCAAGGTATTTTTTTCTCTAATTACGTCACAAAGGTATCTAAAGTGTAAGTTGAAGACCGTAAACGAGAGGATGAATCTATTTGATAATATTTTAGTAAGGAGCTTTCGCAATGGATCGAATTTCATCTTCTAGATTCGACGGTTCACCCAAACCGTAGAATTCATGTCCACATGTTCCAAAAGCCATGTTTAAATGAATAAGGGCAATACAGGGTTAATATACATATAAATAACATGTAGTAAATAATTACGTTGAAATAGATTATCGATATAGGGAACGCTGCTGATTTCTGAGACTTTTACCATGCTATTTGGAATAAGAATTATTGATGCAGCGTATAGGCATACCAGGAGAACGGCGAAACTAGTAAGATGAGAGCACCGGCAAGACACCATCCCTTCAAGAGCCGTTTTCTCGGTTCTACACCCTTCGTCCGACCATTCTCCTAAGTCGATGTCCCAATACACACAACGTTGCGACACTTCGGCATCATTTTCCTCTCCAATCAATGTCTAAGTTAAAAGTTGACATTGAACCACAAAAAATTAATTTCTGCAAAGAATTTTCTAGGAATGATTTTGCTTTTGTTGGTACTTATCTTATCACTTTCATTTATTCATTGTGTAATGATAGTAACTTATAAAGATTGGCATGGAAATTGAATATTTTGACCTCGGTAGTGCATCAATCTGTCTTCTTAATAGTGTTTATAGTTTCTATACTTTTACTTCTGTATCTCAAAATTCTATTGATTATATGATTGTTTGTGTTCATCTTGTGTATCGCTTTCTTTAAGAATGTATGTCATGACTCCATAGGCCTACCTGGTTTACAGGAAACGCAAAGACAATGGATTCATTATCAGGAAGGTCTTTGATATCAGTTTCCTCAATGGTCACAGTTAAGATAGGAGAAGCGACGACCGACGTCGTCTTCGGTTGCTGATTCTGCTTGTCTCCAGACGATGGAGTACTGGATGAGGACGGTCTGTTACCCTGAAACAGCTTAGGCGAGTTCAGAAGAAAGACGCTGACGGATATTACCTGGTTAGTACCTGGAATGATTAACAAAAATCATGTTATTTTGTGATACATGATGCAAGTTAATATGGGGGTGCCACTCGTAGACCGACTTGTCAATCGTGATTATCATGTAAATATAATTGTTCCCATTTTGGGCTTGAAATCGTGTTTAATCGGTACCTGCATTACCTTGCATTCCCTTTGCAGCATTGGTTCTTGTCATAAATAATTTTGCATGTTTACATTGGTCCGACTTTGCTTTAAAATTGCAATTTAACCTTATAGTATATGAAACATAATCGTCAAAAGTTGGAACAGGAGAACCTACTAGATACCGAAGGAAGAATTGCTTCCGGCAGAGATACTGACGTTACACCTGCCGCGTTAGACGGAGATCCTTCATTGGCTAAAAAGTATATGACGTCATCCATGGCTCCTCCTGTAGCAGCCGTGAGGGGAAATTTTCTCCTGTCTACTTTGACGACTGCCAGTACAAGATTTGATCCACTACACAGAAATAAAATTAATACTGATGTTTATGTAGATTTTTTTGGCCTAATGAACAATAACAGAATATTGTTACGAGTCGTTTAAAGAGGATCCTCCGCACGTTAATCAAGGTCACAAATTTTGTAAACAAAAATCAAGTTAAGTAGTAGGTTTGGCCATCAAATATAGTAAGAGCTTTGATACACTAAGCAATATTTTAAGACGGAGTAAAAGACACGAATACTTTAAAAATATCCCCCAGGTATTCGTATTTCATGTGGGGGCAATTAAATGATTATAATGTATTGTGCCCATGACATTTAGAATTAATAATGGCACTATGGTTCTCACATACCTGTAGGTGAAGTTGTTGGTGGATGCCTTTTGAATGGCTTCAGTAAGTGTGGAGATTGTAGCCAGTATGTCTTTTGATACCTGCTGGGAGCTCGGTGTCTCGAAGGTACTCTCTAGGATGTTCAAGATGTTATCCACTGCTCCTATCACACTCTGAGACACCTTTATGAACGATGTTTTGTGAACATCGATTAAAATAACACTCTCATATTTCATGATACTTTATATTCATTATCATGCTACCACAGATGACTGAGCAAAGGCCTTTTCAAAAAGTATTGTCAAAATACTTTTGTACCAAATTAGGCTTAAGCAACAAATTGGGTCAAAAGCCATATCGAATATAATGTTACTTCAGTCTGAAAACAATTATTGCTGACTTTAGTGACACTGATTTCGGGAATATAGTTAGAGAAGCGTGTAATGTCAAATCAATCTCAAATACAGACTTATTATCAGCAAAATGTATGATATTCTCTTTGTTATATTCGCAACCCTTGTTTACAGTGAGCCATTTCACAGAGTCATCCAAAATGGATAAAGTTTATTTGGAATGTAACTTTTCCATCAGTGTACTGCCAAATTGTGTGGTTGTTATCAACATTGTGTTTTCTGCATTGCATTTACTAACATCTTTAAAGTTAGGAAACCTTTGTGATTTGTGTGCTGTTTGAGACAAATACGTTATGCATGATAAATGTAGTAATGGACAATTAGGCAGAGAGATTGTCGATATTACACCACGAGAAATTAGTATATCTAGTCTGTTTATTAATAAATTAGGGAAATCCTACGGGTTGAATCAATGTCCTTTGAGAACTTACCTGTATCAGTTTCGACACTGAAGCACTGACGCACGAATTATAATTACATTTTTAATAGGATTTAAGACATGCGTAAGGCTTGACCCACATTCATTCCATCAGCCCAAACTTGGTGGCCCGAATTCACAAAGGGGGTTTGTCGACAAACCTTGGTTTTCGTGTGTCATATGACGCGTTTCGACGCGTTTTATAAACCAGGTTTGTAAAAAAAAACGCGTAAAAATGCGTCATATGACGTACGAAAACCAAGGTTTGTCGACAAACCTCCTTTGTGAATTCGGGCCGGTATGTTTAGAAGACCCTTGTGCTCAGTCACACGCGGCAAAAAAATTATGAATAGGGTTTCAATGGGCCCCAGGAATTACTCCTTACCATAAAATGGATTTCAAGTTACATTAACGTTTAAATTATGAGCTACCAAAGTTGAGTATACTGTTGTAAACGCAATGTAGAACAAACCCGACGTAGGCCCTCACCTCCTCCCCATTAAAGATACTATGTCCCATTTGCAGGCCAAAAAAATAATAAGGTTAAATTCTAAAGGCATTTGAAAGATAATACTAATTTAGAACTTCCCTAAAAAAAGGGGGGCTTGAAAATGTCTTTATGTGGGAAAATAACGAATATTAGTTGTCGAATCGACTTAAATGCCACCAAGTCAGTAAGTAATAGTCTGATTTTCAGACCATTGTACCGAATGGTCGTACGTTTTGTGCTGCGTAAAGATTCAATCAGTTTAATTTTGGGCATTACAAGAAGTGGGTTATTGATGTAGACAAATGCTCGTGTACCCTTTACAGCTCATTTTATGTATGTTATTACCAACAACAAAAAAAGCCAGTCAGTCACTCAATAGTCACTGACAATTAAGTCTAGCAAGTAAACTGGTTTCCCTGCATAATTTGAATATTAGGACACTGCTAACGTTTAAATTTCACAGATAGGACATATATGACATATTCATAATTCCTGCAAAGTTCCACAGAATTTGATGTTGGCTGCAAAAGGAACATAGTATCTTAAAATTAATACAAAGTTTAGTATGGGGTCGTGGATTTGGTTAAATGAACATATTGGAAACAGATGCGAGTTTACATTATTCAATGATCGTCATCGCGGTTAAAATCGATTCAAAAGTGGTGAAATTTTAAATAATAAAATTTGTATGTGGTATAGCTCTCTCTCAAGACTGATATAACTTTAGTTTTGAAACAATGTTTCTTGACTACAATCGCCCGATTTGCTATCCCCGTTTTGAAATTGTATACCAGAACTGCATATTCGGAGATGTTCATGGTTGCAACTACTATGATTGGTCTTAGGCGCAATTTGAAATATTTAAAAAATTACCGGGTGCACCGGAAAAATTTGATTATTCAATTTCTCGAAAGAACAAGTGTTTTAGGGGATAATTTTTGTAGTGCATAAAATACATCTTCAGAGGAATTTAAATATATCGAAATGTTAAAGAATTACTATCCATCCAATTTTCAAAATTTACCAAGACTTTGCAGTACTTTTAATTCACCGCTATGGACAAATTAAAACGACACGGAGGGTCTTAAAGTCAGGCGGTCCTGCCCATGTAGATTCCCTTTTCCCCCTAAAGGGGATTCCACCTGTCCGGGTTTTTTTTAATTTATGGAAAGTCACTGTTAAAAGGTTTATCTACCCAGGAAGGTTATAGAGAAGGAGTGGAAACTCTTGTTATGTATTCAAACGCATGTGTGAGTTTTAATGCGTAACATTCCACTTGGTTTTGAAGTTTCATGCTCCGAGCCGCTCTTCCACTGCTGGGAATTACCGGCAAAATGTCAGTGTAAATTTTAATCTTTATATGGGGATTGTATTGGGAATAGTGCATCAAACAATTTTTCTAATTTAGTACTCCGCCCTTCCTATAATTTGTGTGTTAGAGTTGGTAAAAGAAAAATTAGATCCCGACAAAAATTCAATAATTTAGGATAATCCGATTAGTTTAGCATGTTTTAATGTCCCGCCATTTAATCCATGATTTACAATCTTCGAAAATTTAGGTTTGCTTATGCGTGCTTTCGCGTGCTTTTTGTATTTTTGGGTTGGAAAAAAGTATGAAATTACAAAGGTTTGAGTTCGCTTGTTCAGCTCATTACACATTCAACAATTGATGAGAAATCATTGGTACAGCGAACCTTTGCTGAGATACTATTTTCTGATGTAGGAATTCTAATCCTGGTATTTTATGCGCTCTTTATTCTCACCCTGGTCGAAAGTCGCAGATTAGCGCATAACTTTTCGGCGGCTTGGAGCATAGGGTCAAAGGAGAGCGGCTTGATTGCACTCCTTCTCTATCACCTCCCTGATCTACCTGTACGACGGTTTCTTCTGTCAGGTTTTGGTCTAACGCAAATCCAACAATTGAACTTAGTTTGTCTGTGACAGACTGAAGATCCTCCTCATCTAATCTGTTCGAATCCCCAGTCAAGATCTTCAGTTCAACCGACACGATAGCTAAATTGTCTTCCGTGATAGTCTCCTAGAGATAAAAATATCGAAAGGTTGACATCTAAGATGGCAAATGGCGGATGGTATTACATGCCTCATTGAACTACAATAGATCATTAAAGAATTCAGGCATCGCTGGAGCTCTACAGCCTGCTCTACAGCCTGCTCGACTTCTCCAAAAAAAATTCGTTTGGCGATGCCTTAATTCCAGCGGCGACCGAGCAGGCTACTAATCGGTCGGTCGCCGCTCTGAATTGTGACCATAGTCTAAGCCTGTGGCGGTTGATAGGTGGAATTTTTAAGATATAAAATATGAAATTACATTGCCTGATCCTAAATATTTATCCACAGCTTAAATTGTGTATATACTCACATTTAATATTTCATATTTAGGCCTAGCTCCTGTGATCGGTGACAGGGTTGTAGCTGTATAGTGGGCAATTGATCACATATATTAATGAACATGAGAAGCACATATCAAAAGCGTGTCCAGAAATAAGGAAAAACTGAAATCGATTATAGGCCTACTATGTGTTATTTGGCCATGCTAAATTATGATTTACGTGTTCCACAAAGTATACGAATTTTCGTTTTTCGAATAGCTAAAATCAGTGTACTACCGTCACCTCCTGAATTCCATAGCTGCAAAAAACTATAGTGTAAACAAAATGAATGCGACTGTGTCCCTAATATGCCTCCGCCTATATGCTTGTATTACCAAGTACCGATTTAAGAGGACGTAGGCCTATAGGTCATATTTAGTTAACATGTCATAAGATAGTTTTAACAGCCTTGAGAGTTGAAAACGCATTTTGGCCCTGGTACAACATATAATTTAGCAACTTTTTACTTGACATCTGTTAATTTTTAATAAATTATTACACTCACAAGATATTTTATGGGATTTTTAATTTTCCTGACCGTGTGAGCTTTCACTTTTTATTTCTTACATGTGCATTCGAGTATCCTTACATGCTTATTATTCTTCATTATTCGTTTGAATTGCTTTTTAATGCTCGCTGTAACGATCTAATTTCTGGAAGTTTTACACTTGTATGACCCTGTAACCACATTACATCGGAAATTTAATCAGTTCATCTTTGTCTATTCATACATACATGTACCTGGCCCAGGTTTGTTTAGAATCCGTTTAATGTTTATAAAGTTAACGCGGTAACGACTAGCTGACAGACAACATCAAGTTATGCCTCGTTCCGCCACCTTCATAACAACAACTTGTAAGTATACTACCTGACCATGGACCCTACTACAGATGGACTAATAATGAGAGTGTTTCTTTGATCACATCATGACCACCGCCACCTGATAATATGTATGTTGATGAGGACATTTTGACGCGACAATGTTGATTATGTAATCACGCATCATCACAGAAAGAGGAACCTTTTACATTTCCTCAGATTCTTTTCGCTGGGCCAGGGCCCAGTGTGTAATTTTAGGAAAAGTATCGTGATAAGGCTTCATCACAGGTGGAGCCAGTGTAGTTTGGGGTGCATGCACATGTGAATGGTGATCCATCTACTTTATAACAAGTACCTCCATTCATACAGGGGTTACTGTAACATGGACCGAGTGCTGGGAATAGAAAACAGGTTTACAGTAAATATATCAAAAACAAGACAAAACATTGACAACTGAAATCAATGTCCTTAGATTAGAATCATCGCTATAGCGATATTAATTTAAAAATATCAAGTTATTTATATTTATTTATTTTTTTTTTTAATTCACGACAACTCAGAGGTATAGCAGTGGTCTCGTAAATGGGATGTCACGAGGTCTAAACCAAGCCGATACACTAGAACCCTTTAAGAAGGAATTACCCAGTTCATCGGAGATGCCTTAAAGCAGTCGGTTCCCTGGTTACTTAATTCCAAGTTTTATAATATTAATACACTTTTAGCTGACAAGTAAAACAAACCGTCTACTTGCGCTAAATACTACTTTTTATTGTACCGAAGAGTCTACCCTATATAAAAAAACATAGAATAAATAAATAAATAAATAGTATCTTACCTGTACATGTAAAGTTAGGTGTGCTCCATATGCCTGTATGCTGGCAGAAGCTGATTGGTTCATTATCAGGAATATAACCACCCTGACATATGTATACAGCTATATCTTGATACACTGATCCTAGTATCATGTTGGAGGAAAGTGTGACGTTTGGGGGGCTTTCTTCACATTCGACAGCTATTCAGGAAAACATAAAAGCCTATAATATCAAGTCATTGTTCAAAGTTCACGAAGGGATGCTATTGTCTCTCTTGACATCCAAATATAGTGTTGGTACAATTTTTTTTTAATTAATTTTTTATTTGTATCACTTGCTCTAACGTGAGCATACCTTATTGTAAACCCTTCATGAATAACAATTGTATTAACGGTAACAATTTAGACTAAATTCTCCGACGCCTTGCTTTATAAATTCTGTATCAAAAATAGTTTCAGCCGCATATTACTGAAGTTTGATAGTTGTTGTTATTACGCTAGCACTTAAACCCCTATCCTGAAGCATGACTACATATCGAGAATGTTCATGTAATACGGAATATCATCCTCAAATGTTGAAATGGACCTTACACGTGTTTTGAGGAACAAAATCTATTATAGTAATTCATTCACTTGACTCTCATTTCATTTGTTTAGGGTTCGAATCTCATCCCGGCATAACTTTTCTTTGGCAAGACATAAATCCACATTTGCAAGTATGTAGCCATGTGTAGTAGGCTCTGAGCAATTGATGGGGTAATAATAATTCAAGGGCCAACATGAACACGGAGAAGAGCAGCAATAATGATGATGGGGCTACCCTGTGGGTAAATAAGATTTAATTATTATCTCTTATTTATTAAACTATCAATTATTTTACCTTCACACGATGGTCTTTGATGATTCCATGCTCCATTAGTCATACACCTTACAACGCTTTCTCCAGTTAATGTGTATCCCTCCTGACAGGTGAAATGAAGAGTAGCATCGACGGAGTAAGTTGTTCTGTCGTCTGGTAAACGATTACCATGCAAAGGTTCACCTGGGTCACCGCAGGCAGGAATTCCTGGAAAATATATAAGACAAAATTGTTATACTTATCACTGAAACGTCAATTTTAATAATCAATTTATCCATTTATTCCATCAATTCCTTCATTCACGTGAAGAAAACCGTACCAAAATATACATGATGTATCATCATCTTTAAACAATACAAAATATGTTGATTGCTCAAATAATGTCAAATCACATCAGCTATAATTCTTGTCATCTGTTCAAAGAAGCCGTCTAACATAGTCAGTTTGCATATTTTACAAGTCCATGACCCTCTAAAAGATATTCAAATAGTAGATTTCACATTGTCTCACCAATTTGACATAGACTCTGAATTCGGTCTGAACAAGATAGGTCATTCCATTGGTACTGATGATCCTTTCTCATTTCTACACAGTCTTCGGAATCCGTACTAGGTTCGCCCTCGTACCATTCCTCATAGGTCATTCGAGTTTCTGAAGAAAGAGATGAATGGTATGATGAATATGGTGTCCTACTATTCGTTAGAAAGTTGCTCTGATTGTCACTTCCATTGTAAAGCCTTAATGTAAATACTACTCGTACATACTGATCTGTATTTGAAATAGACAGTTCCAAACATTTCTCTTTGGTCTTGTTTAATTTCAGATTTGAATTTATAGCATTCAAGATGTGCCCAATATAGAGTGTTTAAATTTTCAAAAAGTTTCAGCAGGATGTGCAGTTTAAAATTTCGTATTCTTTACAAAACTATTCAATGTATCTTTTTTGTTATTTTACTAAATTTATTCTTTTCATTGTTTTCAAGATTTAAGTTCTCAATTCATTTAATTACAAATTATCAAATGCAGGTAATTGATCCAAAAATGGTGACATTTGATATTGCATATTTATCACTGTAATTATCACAAAATAGACTCTTATTACCTCCTAGTCCTATGTAAGGTTATTATTTAAAAAATATAATTATTGAACATGTTTAAATTAGGTTCTATGTTGTTACTTTGCAACAAGGTCGAGATCGAGGATCTCATTTTACCAAACTATTTCATTTTTACTCTACAATTTATTTGTTTTATATTTGAACTGTAACAAATTACTTACATATATTACCGATAGTAACGAATTACCGATACATTTGATACAGATTACATAACGTATAATATTTCTTATCTTATTTCAATTCCTGAGTTGAAATAGGAACGAATTTGGGAAGTTTTATTGTATTGACATTTAATACAAATAGTTGCAAATGGTATACCGATCAAATTTTTGTTTACAGTACAAATCCTTTTGCCTCTGCTATTGTTTGATTTTGTTTCAAAGATAAATGTTTTTTCTTCCAATAAACAGATAAAGACTAAATTTTACTGTTTCTATTTTTTTGAGGAGTCACGTACTATCAGACCAATACCAGGACCGTCCGACTCCGTCATCTTTGTCATAACCACCAATCCACCATGCCTTGTTAACGTGTATGTCTCTTAGATACAGGGCTCGGTCCAGCAATAAAGCATTAGTGCTCTCATCGAGTATTTCAGCCAGAAATCCTCTTCTTTCATTACACTCTTCGGCCCCGACATCACAGTTCTTCGAAACATCCAGGAATTGGAAACAGGTGCCCATGTATTCTAGTACCATGTCGGATTGGTTAAGTCCAACACTCTGGCAAGACCGATCTAGAAATAAACATATAATGTTAAGACGTGCTAAAACACGATCGTACACACCTTCGAAAATATCGACTTAAGCAATTTTAACTAGCCTCGTCCGTCACATTATGATCGTGTGAACATTACAGTGACATATTATATAAAATGTAGTCCGAACATGATGTCTATATGACACAATAGGATACTGTTATTGCTTTTGAGCTAATATTTATTTATATATATATATATATATATATATATAGTACGGTTCAGGAGGCGGGATAGGTGTTTGCCTTATTGCTTTGGGACGATTGACTTGAAGCGCTTCCGTGTCTTCGATAGTAAACTAGACTGCGCTAGAAATTTGGTTATATTCCATAACAAAGCATGGAAGGAATATATATTCTTTCGTAAATTTAATTATTTAAGCCGGGAAACTTCATTTCTGATTGCAAGATGTGACTATAGAACTTGCATTAGTTATTCCAAATGTATACAATTGCTTTACTATCAAAAATATATGTCGATTCACTGTGTAGCCTTATTATTTATTTATTTATTTATTTCCTCTCATAGGGTGGATGGCCCTTTCAGCACAGCTGATTTTCAAAGGGGTCCACAAACATAAAAAAACAATAAATATACAGTGAATTATACAATAATATGTAAAACGTTGCAAATGCAAGAAATAAGGCAATGAATATGTACATGTAGTTACAACAAATAAATATCTAACAAATTAATGTACAAAACAAACAAACAATAAGACAGTTAAGTGCAGATATTCAACTAGAACGACAACAAGCATACGAGTAAAACTGTAAAACCGATAACATAACACACAAAAAACAAGAAGAAAAAAAACAAGACAGAAATAAGAGGATGTGTATAATATTTATCACTTTATTTTATTTTATTTTTTTTTTAATAAAAAAAATTAAAACATAACTAATGGAATATCAAATTGAAGGTAAAAATTGTAAAAAGGGCAAGATAATGTTCAGTCTATATGAGTTCATTCAAATCAATGGTGCGAACAAAGGTAGCCAGTGTGTTTAAGGTTCGCGTTCAAAAGAGAGACAATTGAATAATTTGGAGCTATGATAAAAGAAACTTCTTCTCAAAAACTCGGTCTTAGGCTTTGGAAGCTGAATTTTATGATCGCTATTTCTTAAATCGTGTGGATTATGTCGTAATCAAACTCGTGAAGATAAGTAAGTTGAAGTTAAGTCATGCATTATCTTGAATAGCATGATTAAATTTCCTCTTTTCCATCTGTCAACGATTGGGACTACCTTTGATTGTTGGTAGATTACTCGAGTTCTTTGCTCAAAAGGTGCCTTAATCATAATCCGTACAGCTTATTTAATACGACTTGAGTAGCATTATTCCAAATTATAGAGCAATCATCAAAGTGTGTTTGAATAATACTAAAGTATAGCATTCTAGCAGTACACATGTCAACAATAGGTCTGACTGTACGAAAGAGAAATAAGCCTCGGACAACGTTTTTGCGTACATGGTCTATGTGCAGTTTCCTATTCAATCTAAGATCAAGAATTAGGCAAGATATTTACAACTATAAACTTCTTTCAGTGCATTATTACCAATGTGTATATTTTATATATTATGAAACTGCTTTACTCTTTTATGGGATCCAATAAGCATATATTCAGTTTTGCTCATATCAAGTATCAGCCTGTTAGCATTCATCCATAAAGTTACAGAATTTAAATCATCATTAACCTTGTTTGATACATCATTGGCACTATTGGAGGAATAATATATACACGTATCATCTGCAAATAATGAAATTGATGAATGCTTCACCACATTTGCAATGTCATTTATAAAAATTAGGAATAACATCGGTCCCAATATTGACCCTTGTGGAACTCCGCACTCTACTTTCCCAACAGATGATGTAATAACATTTACTTTGGTGACTTGCGTGCGCTCACTCATATAGTTTTTAAACCAAGATGCACTATTTTGATCAAATCCGTACCATTCGACTTTCTTTACGAGCAGATTGTGATCTTTATGATCAAACGCTTTCTTTAAATCCAACGCTACAAATGCGGTTACCAGACCGTTATCCATATTAAATAATAGATCTTCAGTAAGGTTCAAGAGGGTGTTGCGGATGAATAATTTTGGCGAAATCCAGATTGGTGACTGTATACAACAACGAATTTTGTGTAAGATATTCAGTGACCTGTTCATGCACAATCCTTTTAATAACATTAGATAGGATCGGGAGGATCGAGATCGGTCGGTAGTTCGACAATTAAAAAACATCCCCACTTTTGAATATGGGGATTACTACTGCAGTTTTCCATTCCTTCGGGATTACACCACTGGTTATACACAAATTTATCAAATGTGTCAATGGTGAGACAATGCAGGACATTGCCATTTTAATCATTTTAGCCGGTAATTCATCCAAACCAGTGGCCTTATTTTCAGGAATATTTGTCAGCACTCTTTTTACATCTTCGATCAAAACCGCCTTAAATTCCAATGTTGTATCTGCCCTTTTTAAAAAGGAAGTAAAGTCACCATATGAATTACAACCATTATGTAATTTTTGTGCAACACTGACAAAAAAAAATCATTACATTTTTTTAGACATGTCATGATCGTTATTAATCGTTTCATCATTAAATCTAACACCAGGAATACGAGAGTTACTCCATTTATTAGGGATCATACATCTAAGTGCTTTCCAAATCGCAGCACTATTACCTGCATTTTCCTTTATTTTATCTTGTAAGTACGCCTTTTTTAAATTTAGTAACACACTATTTCTTAACTTCTTATAACTTTCCCATTCATCATCATTGCCAATGCGCTTAGCTTTCCTCTTCTGTTTATCTCTTTCTTTCATCATGTCCTTTATTTCTTTTGTTATCCATGGGACTTTATTTTGTTTGACCCTCTTCGTTTTCATTGGGGCATGCTTATCAACAATCCTTTTAAACGTTGTTGCAAATGTACAATAAGATTCATCCACATCGTTTATATTGTGTACATCATTCCATGATTCATTTAACAATTCTCCTTGAAAATCATCAACATTCATTTTTTTAACATCACGAAAAGTGATATACTTATGTTCATTAACCCTAGTTCTGATGTTACCCCACGAGGCTACAATCATGTAGTGAGCACTCAAGCCAATCTGAACTATATCATTAAAACTGACCTTTTCTTCGCTGGAGGTAATGATTAAATCTATTGTACTACTAGAGTTACGAGTAATTCTAGTCGGTTTAGAGATTAATTGCTTTAAATGGTAATTTTCAAGCAAAGTCAAAAGCCGATTAGTATTGCAGCTTGGGTGAGAGTTCTTGATATCAAAATTTAAGTCACCTTGTAATGTATTAAGTCGGACGTCGAGAGTCCAGGCAGGGAACCTGATAATAACCTAGGTTCCTAACATCATTTACAAAATAATATTTTTTAGTTATTTTTCCCCACATTTTTTACCACAAACGAAGCATAAATAGTTGTTTTCGGGAAAATATGTTTATATGCAAAATAATAATGAGCTACATAATTCCTACACAAAATCATGCAATTCGGTCAATTAACAGTGGATGATATTTCATTTAACCAAAAAAAAGACATAAATAGAGATTACTTCTAGCAGTAGTAAAATTAATAGTTCGAATAGAAGTAGCAGTAGTAGAAGTAGAAGCGTTAGTAGTAGTACAATTAGAAGTAGAAGCAATAGTAAAGGTGGTAGCAGTAGAAGAAGTAGTAGCAGTAGTACAATTAGAAGTAGTAGCA